AGGCAGGTGGATCTACATAGTGAGTTCCAGGCCAGCCTGGAGAACTTGTCTTTAAAAACAAAGAAACAAAAAACCCACCATGGAAGTATTTCCAGGCACAATAGTTGACCCCTGTAGTCTCAGCACTTGGGAGGTAGTAAAAGATCCAGTTTGAGACCAGCCTGGGTGACAGAAAGATCCTAAAGAGGGAGTATGGACAGACGGATGGACAGTCAGAGAGCAGAGGAGTCGTATCTGATTATTGTCTTTTTTTTTGGTTTTTCGAGACAGGGTTTCTCTGTGTAGCTTTGCACCTTTCTTGGGACTCACTTGGTAGCCCAGGCTGGCCTCGAACTCACAGAGATCCACCTGGCTCTGCCTCCCGAGTGCTGGGATTAAAGGCATGAGCCACCACCGCCCGACCTGTTTTTGTCTTTTTTATCCACCTGGTCTTTTGCATGTATATTATAGTTTCTGATTCTGTATTTTTATGGGTTTTGTGTATGAGTGTATGCATGTTTCTAATGCTTTTTCTTCATTTTTTTTTTTAAATTCTGGCTGACGTGGTTTATTTTCACTTGCATTGAATTGATGGATGGTGACGTGCAGAGGATCCAGGAGATGAGGGAGGGGAAGCCACGCTCAGAATATATTGTTTGAAAAAAATATATTTTCAATTAAAGAAACTGAGGGGGAAAAAAGGTACCTGGTTGCTAACTATGCTCACTTCTACTGGGTCCTCTGCTTTGAGGCCCCAGTGTTGAGTTAGGAGTCTCAGGTAGAGCCGCACACGTGTTTCAGAACTGCTAACTATAGCTCTGCTGGAAGGAAACTAAGGATTCAGTCGGGGGCAGTTCTTTTGTAAGATGTATTTATTTTATTACTTTTTTATATGTATGAGTATTTTTGCCTTCACATATGTATGTGTACCATGTGTGTGCCTGGTGCTCTCAAAGGTCAGAAGAGGGCTTTGGATCCCCTGGGACTGGAGCTACAGTCTTGAGCTGCCATGGGGGTGCTGGGAATGGAATTTAGTCCTCTGGAAGAGCAACAAGTGCTCTGGACCAATGAGCCAACTCTGCAGGCCTTAACTAGAATTTTTGTCTGTTTGTTTGTTTGTGTTTTTTTTTTTTGTTTGTTTGTTTTTCGACACGGGGTTTCTCTGTATCGTTTTGGTGCCTGTCCTGGACCTCGCTCTGTAGAACAGGCTGGCCTCGAACTCACAGAGATCTGCCTGGCTCTGCCTCCCAAGAGCTGGGATTAAAGGCGTGCCCTACTGCTGCCCGGCTTAACTAGAATTCTTTTTCTTTTTCTTTTGTTTCCCCCAGAGCTGAGGACCGAACCCAGGGCCTTGCACTTGCTAGACAAGAACTCTACCACTGAGCTAAATCCCCAACCCCAAACTAGAATTCCTACAGGCAAAAAGTATGTACAGTGAAAGACACAAATCCCGAGTATGCAATGCAACAGAGTCAGCACTGTAGCACATGCGCCTTCTAAGGTACTGGACGTTATTCTCAGTCCTCTCCAGTGTTTCTGCCTAGTCAGCCACCCAAGTCCGAGGCCACCAGTACTCCAGGGCCTTGCCTGGTCTGTAACAGGAACTAGCTGCTACCCAACTTCCAGTGTGCCTCATTGCACACCCCGCCCCTGTGCCCGGCCTTCTGCTTTCCTTCTGCAGTTCTGCTCTGAATGCTCTCTGAATGCTTTTCCCAACCAGTGTTGCCAGGGGGCCTGATGCGGAATCGACTCCCACAAGCTTGATACTGATTGATTCCCGCACATCTACATTCTGCAGAC